TTTGAAGGGTTGAATACATGCCACATTGCCTCCAAATAACTCTTCGCAGGTTTTAAATTCAGAGTTGTCCTTCTCCTAGACCAGTTGCCATCAAAGGCTATAGAACCCAGTATGTCCTGCTATTTAACCTTTCCCAAGTGAATAAGTGAATGTAATGGATTTGACTGGAATTCGAACTCAGCTCTCTGATTCTAAATCCAAGTCTCTCTATATATATATAAGTATGTGTATATATATATATATATATATATATATATATATATATATATATATATATATATATATATATATAAATAACTAAAACAATATGAAGCAGTATACAATCCAATCCAGACAAGAAACATTTGAGTTTTTATTTGGATATTTACCTGGTTGCTGTCTTTAACAAGTTTGATTGTTTATTTCCAAAGATGTTGAGTAATTGAACAAAATCTTTACCTGATGATGGCTGGAGACTTAATCAGGTTAAATATTTGATGCTGGGAATAACTAAAATAAAGGAACTTTAAAGGCATTGATTAAAATATTTTTATTCTTTTGATTTTTGAAGAACAAGACAAACACATTCACCTTTCTTATTTTGATTGTTATGGGCTCAAACAAATGAACCAATGAAAAGATAATGAACACCTCACTCTGTGTATTGTTCAAATCATTCTGATTCCTTGATAAAAATGTTGAGAAAAGAAACAGGCAAAATGACATTCAACAAGAAAGACAATATTTAAAAAAAGAAAAAAGAAAACTGACCTGAAGTTATGTTTCACACCTGAATGAAAATTTTTGATACTTAAACCATAAATCCAATGACATTTTAAAATAGTCTTTTATCTTATATTATACTAATTATTATATCAGATAAAATCAGATTCTGTTAATTAAAATATGATTAATTGAAGTGTTTTTTTTTTAATTGATGTCATCTTTTATCTTCCTATAGTTGGGTTCATTTTGGCTGCAGGCAACAAGAGATTTTTAGTATCTCATCATAAACATTCTCATTAAATTGTCAGGCATTCTTTAAATTTTGACATTTTTACGTTGAAAAAGGAAAATATATTTTCATTTGTATTTTTAGTCCTTACTCATCATCTTTTGATTTACAGACATGTTTATTTGCAAATCTTCTTTTTTACCTGTTTAAATTCTTTTTGCTTTAAAAAGCTTTTGCTGAATCTCTCCAGACTTTGGTGTAAGGGACAATCAGGAAAAAATGATTTATAGCAGAGAGATTGTGGCCATGTTTTTTATCTTTTCATTTCTTCTTTTTATATATTTGTTCTTTTTTTTGGGGACATTTTTATTGTTTGGATTTCATATTTTTAGTAATTTATCTAATTTAGTTATTTTTAGGCATTTATTTTAAAATTCTTACCCTGAAGTAAGTACTATTTCAATGTTTTATTCAATAGCATTGTTACTCAGTTTTACTGGGTTTTTTTTATGTGTGAGTCAATTTAATATCGAATTGAAGGTCATAAATTGCCATCAGTTTAGGATTGTACAGAGCCTTACCAACCAGTCATGCCCAGGCTTCAACTGATGTCAAAACTTATGTATTTTTATTTTCATTCCTTCCATTTCTTCTTCTTCATCATCAAACTCTTCTTCTGTTTGTTCTTCTTGTTGTTTTTTTATTCTTATTTTTATTCTTCATCATGAAATCCTCCATATTCTTTTTCCTCAAAATTTTTTCTTCCTTGTCTTCTTCTTTTTCATCAACTTGTTTTTCTTCTTCATCATCATAATCAAACTGACCTTTTTCTTGTTCTTCTTTTCATTCTTCTTCTTCTTCTTCTTGTAATTCTCTGCCATCGTGTTCTTTTTTCATCAATTTTTTCTTCCTCTTAATCTTCTCTCTTTCTTTTTGTTTTTCTTGTTACTGGTCTTTTCTTCATCAAATCTTCCTTCTTCTCCTTCTTCATTAAATTCTCCATCTTCTTCATTTTCATCAAATATATCTTCTACTATGTCTTCTTCCTTGTTTTCTTTTTGTTTTTCATCATTCATCATCATCATCATCATCATCATCATCATCATCATCATCAAATCCATTTCCTTATTCCCCTTGTCATTCTTCTTCTTCTTCTTCTTCTAATCCATTACCTTCATTTTTTTCATCAAATTTTTCTTCTTCTTTATTAAATCCTTCATCAACTTCTCCTTTTGAATCAACTTCTTCTTCATCAAATCTTTTCATCAACTTCTCCTTCTTCCTCTTCTGTATCAAATCCTTCTTCTTAATCTTTTTCTTTTTCATCATCTTCTTTTTCTTCTTCTTCTCCTTTAGTATCAACATAATCAAATTCTCCATCTTGTTGCTATTCTTCTTTATTTAAAGTAAACTGAAACACTTTTCTTCACTCCTTCTTCTTCTTCTTCTTCTTCTTCTTCTTCTTCTTCTTCTTCTTCTCTGTCTCCTCAAATCGATGCAAACCTGATTTCCCACTGGGAAATGCCCTCCTTCTTAACCCCTGTGGCATGCAATGTGCTATGAAGACACACATTTACTAGACATGCTGCTTTTCAATTGCCTTCACGCTTTACACTTTTATTTATGGTTTCATTGTAAATACAATTCAATACAAGTAGCTGCCAACTCCTACTAGCAACCACAGTATTCAGCTAACTAGAATTGCTTGCTCCCTTGCCACTGTAGTTGAATGTGTCATTTACCATCTGTCATCAATCATTGCAGATCAAGCCAGTGTATCTGTTGATACTTGCCTATCTATGCAACTAGACAATTGCTTCATACTCTGCATCTTTTGTCACTGAGGTTTTTGCTCCTGTCTGACTGTTTGGGTCATAGGAACATGCTAACCACTTCAAATGACAAGGCACTAAGACATGGAACAGCCCTGGCATTTAGGAGACAAGAAATCAAAGTAGAAAAAAAAGTTGAGAGAACACAAAGACATCATTCAATGTAACCAGAAGTCAATCAGGCATGGCACATTTTGGAACTGCCATTTGACCACCAAACCAATTTTGGCATAAATCATCTCATTTTAAATACAGTAAAATCAGTGATTTTATAAGTGATTGGTCATACATAATAAACATTATAAATGATTTGTCACGCATAATGAGCATTTTAAGTGATTGGTCACTCAAAATAAACATTATAAGTGATTGGTCACTCATAATAAACATTATAAGGGACTGGTCACTCATAATAAACATTATAAGTGATTGGTCACTCAAAAGAAACATTATAAGTGATTTGTCACCCACAAACATTATAAATGATTGGTCACTCATAATAAACATTATAAGTGATTGGTCACTCATAATAAACATTATAAGTGATTGGTCATTCATAATAAACATTATAAATGATGGGTCACCCACGATAAACATTATAAGTGATTGGTCAATCATAATAAACATTATAAGTGATTGGTCACTTATAATAAACATTATAAGAGATTGGTCACTCAAAAGAAACATTATAAGGGACTGGTCACTAATAACAAACATTATAAGTGATTGGTCACTCAAAAGAAACATTATAAGTGATTTGTCACCCATAAACATTATAAATGATTGGTCACTCATAATAAACATTATAAGTGATTGGTCACTCATAATAAACATTATAAGTGATTGGTCATTCATAATAAACATTATAAATGATTGGTCACCCACGATAAACATTATAAGTGATTGGTCACTCATAATAAACATTATAAGTGATTGGTCACCCACGATAAACATTATAAGTGATTGGTCACTCATAATAAACATTATAAGTGATTGGTCACCCACAATAAACATTATAAGTGATTGGTCACTCATAATAAACATTATAAGTGATTGGTCACTCATAATAAACATTATAAATGATTGGTCACTCATAATAAACATTATAAATGATTGGTCACCCACGATAAACATTATAAGTGATTGGTCACTCATAATAAACATTATATTTTAAATACAGTAAAATCAGTGATTTTATAAGTGATTGGTCATACATAATAAACATTATAAATGATTTGTCACGCATAATGAGCATTTTAAGTGATTGGTCACTCAAAATAAACATTATAAGTGATTGGTCACTCATAATAAACATTATAAGGGACTGGTCACTCATAATAAACATTATAAGTGATTGGTCACTCAAAAGAAACATTATAAGGGACTGGTCACTCATAATAAACATTATAAGTGATTGGTCACTCAAAAGAAACATTATAAGTGATTTGTCACCCATAAACATTATAAATGATTGGTCACTCATAATAAACATTATAAGTGATTGGTCACTCATAATAAACATTATAAGTGATTGGTCACTCATAATAAACATTATAAGTGATTGGTCACCCATAATGAACATTATAAGTGATTGATCACTTATAATAAGGTAAAGCTGCAAAACCAAAACATTAACCTAAAAAAAAACAATTACCTAAAAAGATGAGTCATGTTCTTAAATAGTCATATTAGACTGAGACATTCATGGATGCCATGCATGGTGCTATACACTTTAAAAATATCTGAACTCTCACCTGTATACAACTTTTTTTTCAGATTGATGGGTAAAGGTGGCTACAAATGAATGATTGTTGGTCTTATGGAAGACAATCTTTTTTTGAACTTCACAGACTGGTGTACAGTATGATAAACAAAAAACTCTACCAAATAATAGGAAGAACATCACTTGAAGACTTTCAACAGCAATAACAATTAACATGTAACTTGAAAAGAAAATAATGACATAATCAAGATGTTGAAATTCCATACTATTTCAAACAAAACATTAGGAAGAAAACCTTCATCAGTGTTGGAAAGAAAGTTAACAGTGAACTTGAGAGATCTATTTTCCTTAAAAAAATGTTTTAATAAAAAGATTTGGTGAATTTCAACTGAAAGTAGAACTGGCTGTGAATGAAAACTGAATGTTTTCCTATGAGGGAATGGCAAATATTATCTTTTTACCATTCACTGTTAAAATTGCTTTTTTAAAATTTTTAGAAAATATCAAGTGTATGAACCTCCATCTTTTTTCCGTTCTCTGTTTATCTATTTTATCTTTTTTCTTTCTGTTTATCTTCTCATTTTCTTTCTCTCTTTCATTCTCTCTCTCACTCTTGGTTTATCTTTCTTTCACTCTCTGTTTATCTTTATTCTTTCTCTCTCACTGTTTATCTTATTTTCTTTCCCTCTTTTTCTCTCCATCTCTCTCTCTCTCTCTTTGTTTATCTTTCTCTCTCTCTCTCTCTCTCTCTCTCTCTATTTATCATCTCATTTTTATTATCTCTTTCATTCTCTCTCTCACTCTTGGTTTATCTTTCTTTCACTCTCTGTTTATCTTTATTCTTTCTCTGCTTAACTATCTTTTCTTCTTTCTCTATCTCTGGTTATCTTTCTCTCTGTTTCTTTCTCTTTTTCTCACTATATTGCTTTCTCTTACACCTATCTATCTATATTCCTCTTTTTCTCTCTTTCTTTTCTCTCTCCCTGTTTCTTCTCATTTTCTTATTCTCTTTCTCCCTCTCTTTCTTTATTTATCTTTCTTTCATTCACTGCTTATTTTTATTCTTTCTCTCTTTTTATCTTTATCTCTTTCTATCTCTCTCTGCTTATTTTTCTCTCTATTTCTTTCTCTTTTTCTCACTTTATTTTTTTTGCTCTCTCTTACACCTATCTATTTATCTATATTCCTCTTTTTCTCTTTCTTTTCTGTTTCTGTTTACCTTTCTCTGTTTATCTTTTTTTCTTTCTCTCTGTTTATCCCCCCATCTCTCCCTTTGGTTATCTTTCTTTCTCTTTCTTTCACACATTATTTTTTGCTCTCTCTGTTTCTTTCTTACAAAGTCAACATGAAGATACATTTCTTAATAAAAGTAAACAGTACCCTTCCACTTATGTTTGTTCTTATATTTTAACCGAACATCCTTAAATATAAAACTCAATTTTTCTTACAATCTTCATTTTAAACTGAAAAATCTTTTGCTAGTATTATAAACAAAAAAAAAACACTGACTTTTTTATAATAGGTTTATTATTACAGCTTCAATATAAATCATCTGAGATATTAATTCGATTGAGATCCATTTTGAATAGCAATAAAGAATTTTCCTTTATATTGCTTTCAAAGAATATGTTTCTAAACTTAAAGTGTAGTAACTGTTTATTTGTCTAAAGCTTGGGAGCTTTCAAAGCTATCAATACAAATATTCATAAAATCTTTTCAAACATTCTTCTAAACTGACCATTTCCTAGTTTAATGGAACTATTTGTTCTTTCATCATTTGAGAACAATAAAGTTTCAAAGAAAACTTTCATGGAAACTCTAATTGAAATAAAGTCTCTTTAAATGTCACATGATGTAATTTAAACCGGAAGTACTCTAGAGAATGTAAAATCTGAAACACTGTGATCAACTCAAAAGATTTAGTTGAATAAAAGGAGCAAGAGAAACTACCCAAGAGATGAGCTACGGATTGGAGACGTACGTCAAAATCAAACAAGAGCAGAAGTTTAAATATCTGAGATGTATTATAATGAATACCAACTGCCTTAGCATGGGTTTGAACCTTGTTCTCTAGTTAACTATTCCATCTCCATCAACTCAGTAGATTCCAACATGTAGCAGAAGGTTTGTCAAATCTGCTAATGAAAATGGACCAAAACGTTGGGCTAAATATTGATATGTCCCAGAAAGGGATATATTCGTTCGAAGTAGCAAAGTGGTTGCTGACTACTGTAACCGGGTAGGACAATCTAGCAGGTAACCCTAATGGACTGGTCCTCGTCGTAGTGGTAGGCAATAGGCGTAGGCAATAGGCGAAGACAATAGGCGTAGTCAATAGGCGTCGTCTTATTCCTCCACATCAGTCTGTATTTATGGCTGACACCAGCCAATCATATTACTGTGAGGAGGAACCCAGGTGTATGCACATTCATTACATCAAATATATATATATATATATATATATATATATATATATATATATATTCACTTGAGGATGAAATGGAACTAATGTCTTTAATTTAATCACAAAATTAAATTTGTGGCTTTTAGCTTCCATTTTTGAAACATGGTTAGAACTGTGTAGTGAAAAAAACCATATTTTAAATCAATTAATTTATGATATTAATGATCTGTAAATTTACATTGAGCACTATTTTGTAAAAATAAAAATATCTATAAGAACACCGGATTATATATCTTGCTGTTCTTTCTTTTATTTATATATATATATATATATATATATATATATATATATATATATCAGGTTTCAATCCTGCTTGAGGCAATCAGATGTCCTCAGGAGCATGTATATATTGTCATCCACAGATAGACTGTTTTGCTGTATCACAGCTCATCAGTGTGACTAGATGCCCGGTTGCCTCTAGCTAAGATCGAAACCTGGTTGAATTCGGAGATTCTACCCCTAAGCATTTGGCATATGGTAGGAATGAAGGCAAACTTAAGCATATTTATTTTTAGATAAATACACAGTGACTGAGAGAACTCAATTCACTTTACTAAAGAGCCATCTATTATTAGCCATAATAGTCACTGTTTACAAACTCACACTTCCTCCCCAGAGAACTCAACCGAAATAAATTTTTTAGGAGCATATATATTGTCATCCACAGACAGACTGTTTTGCTGTGCCACAGCTTATCAGTCTGGCTACATGTTCGGTTGCCTCTAGCTAGAATTGAAACCTAAAATATATATATATATATATATATATATATATATCCCAACAATTTCTACTTAATCAGTTCTTTTTATCTACCTGGGAAGGTTATATAAATTGTGGCTTTTATTTCTGTTATACTTACCTGAAAGCCATGTTATAACTGATGACATAGAATATGATAGCAAAAACAGAATGCAGATTGGGATAACAAAAGATGTTATTCAAAAACTATACGATGTATTAAGATGAAGGAAAATGGAATTAGAAGAAAAGGAAAGTCTGCTGAACTCTTATTTAATATCAATCATCGAAAATTTGAAGAGAACACTGAAGATAACAAACACTGAAAATACCATGGATGGCACATGTAAGCAATGTGAAAGTTTTAAGGATAACGAAAATAAAAACAAAAATGACACTCAAAGTTGAAATTTCTTGGACACATAATGAGGAAAATGGGTTTGGAAAATTTACCATCCACAAGACATATTGAAGGTAAGAAGGAAACAGCAAGTAACCTATCTAATGAGCTTGTGTAAATAGATGACAGAACAGGTGGGATGGTAAAAAGACAAACATTGCTAAGAGCTACAGAGGATTGGGTGTTGTGGAGAGCCATGATTACCTATATCCTGAAGGGACATGGCATATAGAAGAACTTAGTAGACTAAGCTGAGATAGTAGTGGTATCCATTTTTGCATTCAGAAATTAGCTGTTATTAAATTTTGCAGGGACCACCAGCACCACCTCCCCATCCAGCACCACCTCCCCATCCAGCACCACCTCCCCATCCAGCTAATATCGGTACTGGGTACTACACTCTACCTGGTCTGGAGGAACATGCCGATTTTGTTGATGAGAATGGTAACTGCTTTGTAAAAGACTTCACTATTGGATGTGAAGGATATGGGAGTGTATGTTTCAAGGAAAATGGAAACAAAAAAAGAAATATTTAGAATCAGAAAGAGACAGTTGAAATTTCTTAGACACATAAAGAGGAAAGAAGGCCTGGAAAATTTGACACACACAGGACATAATGAAAGCAAGTGGAACAGAACGAAATAGTGAAAACCCACTTAACATGCATGTGTAAATGGATACCAGAACAGGGAGTGGGAGGGATATTAAAAAGACAAATGTTGCTAAGAGATACAGAGGATAGGAAGTTGTGGAGAACCAGAATCGCCGACTTCCTGAAGGGGCACAGTGCACAGAAGAAGAAACAAAAGAAGAAAGCTATGTCACTGAGGAACCTTTCTCTCCATCATTTGACATTTAATTCATCCCTTTTATGGTGAATAAACCTTAACCTTAAAGATCTTTGTCATCACAATCTAAGTATGAAATACCCAGTGAGGATCAAACTCACTATTCATTCGTGATTGATCTAGCAAGAAGACAAGCTTAGTAACCATTACACCATGTGGATGAGCTCCATCACAATCAATAGTAAGATTTGAATGAGATAAATTATTTCTTTAGTATATTAGTATTTATTAAACAATTTTCTTTCTTTCTTGGCATATAAGTCAGTTCTCTTATTGATTTAAGGAGGGGCTTATAGCCATGTAAAATTGAAATATTGGTTCCCATATGATCACAGATGTTAAGCAACATTAAGCTAAATCAGTACTTAGAGGGGTGACTACTTGAGAATACCAGGTGCTGTAAGCTTGGATGTGTGGGTTGTGTAATTGTCAAAAATCAGAGGGCTGAGTTCCAATTTCATTTGGGTTTATTATATTTACTTACAAGTAAATACATTTAGAATGGTTATAAATCCACCTCTTCTCTCCTAAGCTATGGGTTAATTAGTAATACTCATATCACTAAAACCACTATTATCTCCAAAGAAAAATGAAATTACTTACAAAATATTTAGATTTTGACATTAAATGACCTATAGAGGTGTTGATATGCCACTAAACAAAAACAATCAACGAAATTGATTCAAGGATATGGCATACATTTTTGTCTTTTTGTAATATATGATTTTTTCAAACTGAATGGTTGAGTGTTAAATTTAGTCCTCAGAACCTAGACAAACCAATATTTTATTAAATATTTTATTAAATATTTTATTAAATATTTTATTAAATACAACACAGAATGAATGTATAAGTATCAACAGCAGTGCCTTACCAAGATTTATTACTGATGAACCTGAAAAAAAAAAGGCAATGTTGAGTTTGAGAGACATATAGATTCCATCAGTAAGGAATTGTTATGAATGACAAGATCTAAAGATATTTTATCCTAGACAATACCAGACCACCTTACCAGCATTTATTCCCAATAGTCACTCTCAATTTGGAAGATTCTGTTTTGTAAAAATATAGAATCACTAATTTCATCATAATTTCATTCATAATTTAAAAGGAAACAAGTTCTTTATTTTTCATTATTCTTTTGTTACGAACAATATATTCCTCCATACTTCTTTCCTGTTTGCAACAGTTTTTGTATAGATTAGAAAATGTCTTACCACCTGAAAATTGTATGCATCTGGATTTTGTATTATATTTGGATGGGAAGATTTTTTTCAGAATTCACTTCCTCTTAATTAGAAAATTTATTACCTGAACATGTTATATTTCAAGCAGATTTTTTATGTACATATGAGAGAATATGAAGATAAAATTAGATTCAAATAATTCCATTTAAAGAAAGGTAAACTTTGAAGATGATTATACAAAACAGTTCAAACTTTGAGATACTTTCACAGCCAATAAAAAAATTGTTCTGCAGAAGTGAATGGTATATCTGCATATATCATGAACGAATATACTTATGGTGAAAATTGATGAAATTCAATTTTGTTTGGCCATAATCACAAAGCACCTAGTTTCCACCATTTTCATTGAAGTATTCTCCCTTGGACATATATAGAGTTAACTTACAAAGATTATTTAAATGTCTGGAAATCACTTTGTATATCTGGTGTATTTATTCCCCTGACCCAATTCTGAATATCTAAGGAAACTTAAGAATTTCAAGAGTAAAAGGCGTCTGGTTTGGGCTGAGAACTTTTCAGCATTCTTTTCTAAAATTCATAAGAAAAATAATGAAGTCAGAAAAACTCTTGGGCCTTTTGAATAATAAAATTGTAAAAAAGAACAAAAATTAATATTATCGATATTTCAGCAATAATAAACACAGTATAAATAATTGTAATGACAGCACGTGATAGTTTTTTTTAATATTAAAATGTTATGCTAAAAATTTTAAAACTTTAATATTAATAAAGTCAGTGACAATTTGAGATCTTCAAACAAATTTATTAAGAAAAATTTCATGCTGATAACCTTTTAGTAATAAAAATTCATACTAATAAAATTTTACTTCTAATAAAATATCATCCTAATAAAAGTTCAGTACTAAAATATAAAAAACAAGTTTGTAATAACAAAATGTCATTCTAACTAAATTTTAGTAAAAATAGAACGTCATAATAATAAAACCTTACTTATAATAAAATGTCATTCAAATAAAATTTTCTCTAATAAATTTTAGTGATAATAAAATTTCAAAGTAAAAAAGAAAAATTTTCAACCTGAAATTATTTATCAATATTTTAAAAAAATAATCAAAACTTCTTTCAAATACTTGTCAATTTCAGTAACATACAGGGAATTTCAAACTGAACACTTTATTTAATTTACAGGGTTAAATAGTTCTCATTCTGCTGCTGATCTTTAGTAGACTAAAAGAAAAGATGAAAGGTTAACTTGTATCCATGTTGAAAGACTCTTCAAATCTTGACAATTAAGTCATCATTGTATAAAATTAAAGGAATTTAAAATGAAGATCAATTTGACTTCTAAAAAGAAAAAGTTACCAGATCTTTCACAGTTGATAGATTTTGTAATAAAAATGTAGAAATTTGCAATTCATTTTCTTGTCACTTTTGTGAACATTTTTTAATCACTCCAAGAAAGGCAATAAAGTCACTAAGATGCAAGAGGTTACTGAGAGGGAAACAAAATATTGAGGAGAGAGAGGAGAATAAATGAATGGGATTCAAGGAAACAAAAAAATGACAATTGATACTGAATTTAGATTTTTGAAGATCATAATTGACAGGAAAGCAAGAAGCCAGAAGAGAGTTCTACAAGTGAAGAACTGCAAGAGAAGAAACTGTTAGCATAGAACTTATGAAATAAACCTGTCTAAACTTTTAAAAGTTTTGTTGCAAGGCTGATAATTACTTGCTTTTTACCTTTTGAATTTTTTATGAAAGAAGAAATTTTAATATAAAATAGTATTATCTTTTATTAGTTTAAAATGAGCAGTGATCTACATCAATAGATATTTTCAAAAATATCTATAGTTGCAAATATAAAAGTATATATATATATAGATATATATTATAAAAGTGTCTATATGTATAGATATATATTGATCTGGGCTTAATATTTAAAATATTTGGCTGTCATTTATGAAACTTGAAAGAAAAGAAAATATAATATGTAGCTAATAAGAAATCCTGGAATAGCTTTGAATATAATAAAAGATCTTAATGAAAGGACAATATCTGGACCTGCACAAGAGTTAGGTCTTTTTCTCTTTGGCCAATAAATTAAGTTCCTGCAATATGATTAATAAAATGATATGTTATTTAAAGGCAAAAAAGAAAGAATTCCCTCAAAGCAAGGAACCTTTTCTTGTCTATCAATCTCAATGTTCCTTGAGTAATACCATCAATTTTTACCCAATGCAGGTCAGCAATTTTAACTGACCCTTGCTGCTTTCTTGATCACTCAAGCATTCTATGTTTCAATTAATCAACATAAAATGATCTGCCATAAATAATTCTATCAATTCAAACAAATATTTCTAAAATATCAAATAATTCGACAAAAATGTTCTTCTTTTGGGAATTTTATCAAATAAACAGAGTTACACTAAAAAAGAGTCTCAGATAGTTTATTACAAAGTGGGAATCATTTTTGAAGGTTAATGAAATGCTTCATTTCCTCTTGAGAAATCATCACGTTTATCAATGGCCATTTATTTTAGATATAAATTATCAATGCATATTTCATTTACCTTGTAATATTAGCTAATATTATATGTTTAATATGCTGCACAGAATGGAGAGACGATAAATTGCTCAGGTAGTTTATATTAAGTGTTGTCATATCAATAAAAAGAATTCAAGTCTTTTATGTGCTTCATATTCAGACTTTCACAGTCTGAAGGGAAAAGAAAAAAAAAAAGACATTTTAGTTGCAATTTATGTCTTTTTATATTTCATTAGTTTAATTTTGCTTATGATCTCAAAGATATACAATGCCCACCCTTAAGATTTTGTGAACTTCTCTCTCCCGACAGATATGGTCATTATTATTGTGAAAAAATTTTTAATTTGGCCTGTTAAATAAACAGCCAAGTACCAATTTGTAAAGTAGACTTTCGAAATAATGAGCATAAAAATAAAAGATGTAATGGTAAGGAAGGAATGTCACTGATGCCAATAGTGTGGAAAGGAGATGGGTGCTTACTGTTATTTATCAACAGGTTAAGAAGATAAAATATAAATAAATGGAAAACACGTTTTGTGTTTCTATTTCATTGTAAAGGAGATGGGTGCCTTCTGTAAATTTTTATTTAAATCTGATAAGAATGAATGAGCACCTATGGTGTCTGTAGCCTGCAAAGGGGATGGGTACATTGTGTCATTATTGAAATGTGATAAAAAGCAAAAGATGCCATTTCTCTAGAAAGGAGATGGGTGCCTTTAGTTATTTATCTGTAGGCTAAGAAAATAAAATGTGAGTGAAAAGAAAGGACATTCTCTGATAACTTTTCTTTCGAAAGAAAACTGGTGCCTTCTGGTATTCGTCATTAGGTTAAAGAAATCAAATTCCTTTAAATTGGACAATTTAAGGACAAATTACTCAAATTTAATTTCATAAATCTTTTTCAGAATATTGTATAATTTAATCTTAGAATCTTGAGATACAGCAAAGACAGCACACATTTTCCCTTTTAGAAATATTTCATGAAAATTTTTTTTATTAGTATTATAACTGTAAATAAATAAATAAAAATAAATAAATAAGAAGAAGTCCAAAATTTTCCCATCTCTAAAACAGATGTATATTCTGAATTGCCAGGCCACAAAGCCATATTTTGACCAACCAATTATAAAGCTTTCAAAACCAGGATATAAGGCCACAAGCTAATCAGAAGTGGGGCAGCAATTTCGAAGCAGATCTCTGGTTATATATATATATATGTGTGTGTGTGTGTAACAAGATTGAAAATCAACCTAAATCAAAATAGAATAATTAATTTTATCCATTCTCCAATGCTGTGGTCAACCAAAATAAGACATTTGTGTAACTCACAGTTGACTTTAGTTTGCTACACATCTTGCTACATTTAAAAACATACATCCCTTTTTACACCATCTTTCCAGCAGCTTGTTGCTACATTTGAAAACATACATACTTTCCTTCAGTCACATTGCTAAGAAGTTGGCTACTAAATTTAGATAAATAAATACATATAGATATATATTTACTTTCACCCATAATCTCTCTCTCTCACTCTCTCTCTCTCTCTCTCTCTCTCTCTCTCTTTTTCAGTCTTTTATTCAGCAGGTCTTGAACTCTTGAAACTTTAACTTTTACCTTATCCTTTTCTGTTATTATATTGAGTTATATA